AATTGGGCTCCAACCCTACCAAAATTCCAGGGTGCCCTTGCCGGTGTATACTATAAACTGATTCATGTGCTTCATGTGAGTTTTCACAGAACTGGTGCTTGATTAAACACTGACCCAGCATTTGAAAGTCAGAAGGATTGTCAGAGGCAAAAGAAAGGTTCCCCATATTTCTTTATAATGGAACAGTCTCCTTCCATAGTTCCCTATTTCCAGGATTCCTGATGAGCTGCAAATTGTTTAAGGTTGCCCCCAAATTTACATCTCTAAATGTTGATAAAAAGAGCAATTAATCTGATGTCTGTAGTATAGCAGCTGCCTGAAGGTCTATCCTGACAGACAAAAACAAGGACTCAGGTCACTCACAGGTCAAAAAAGAAAAGAAATACAACATGAAAACCAATCCATCAATATCAACTGCAAGACTAGGAGTCATTGTGTGTGTGGGAGAGAGAGAATCATATCAAAAAACTCCAAACAGTGGGGGACAGAATCCCACAAAGGAATTCTCTTAAAACAATCACATACAGGGGTAGTAAAGGCTTCAGTTTACACCACACTCTGGGACTTTACCACTGCATCTTCAGAAGAGACAAACAGGTAAAAGTAACCTGCAGGTGAGAGGGGGCTCTATTTGTCAAAGATGTGATAAAATTGGTGATAATAATAATCTCCACAGTGCCATGTCAGAAGTCACAACAAAGATGTCCTAGGGGACAAGTGAAGGGGCATTTATTTAATCTTCAGCTGGCAAAGCCAGACTGCTCATATCAAACCATACTGCTCATGTTAAGCCCTCCTCCTTCTCCCAGGAGACCAGCAGAAGCCAGAGGCACTCCGCAACACACAAAAAAAGAAGCAGATATCAGTGTGATTTGAGAGAAATTGAAGCTACCAGACATACTGACACTACCAGAGACAGGTTTTATTTTTCAATATAATCATAATAGCACAACCTTTCCTACACTCAGTGCTTATGCTACTGTGGGAAATATTTGTGTTTATCCATTTTTTAATTATTTCTGAAATCTTGTTTAGTGGCAAAGCTGGGATGATGGGTTTACAAGATATTCCATATAGGGGGCAGGAGAAGAGATGAGCAAAAGCTTAGGAAAAAATGTGAAGGAGACTTAATAGCAGGGATGGGGAAAGTGGAGTGGGATAGAGGGAGGGACAGACTGGAGATATGATCTCTGCTGTTGAAGGAAGAAAACAGTTGTGATGGTAGATATGAGATTTGAGTTTTCAGGCAAGAGAGGAGTGAAAAAGAAAGGCAGGGTGGGCACCTTGAGCAGCCAAAAATATCATGATAGGGAAAATTAATCCACACAGATGAAGGAAGAAGACAGGGAAGGCAGAAAACCACTGTGGAAGCAGGAAATGCAAAGAAGAAACAGTACAACTTTGAGCAGGAAAGAGAAATAACTTATCCTAAAAATATATATATTACTTCAAATCATGAATAGAGTAAGAGATATGGAAACACAGCAAGAAAAATATCCAGGTTCATATGGATTTTATAGAGTATGTGATGTTAGAGAAAGACAGAGTAAGGAATCCTAGTTAGAACCACAAAATGTTTGAGGTTGGGCGTGACCTCAGGAGGTGACGTGACTCAACCACCTGCTCAAGCACACCCACCTAGAGACACCTGCCCAGGAGCATGTACAGACAGCTTTTACATATCTCCAGGGAGAAAGATTTCACCTCTCTGGGCAACATCTGCTCAGCATCCTTCACAGGAAAAAAAGTGTTTCCTGATGTTCAGAGGGAGCCTCCTGTGTTTCAGTGTTGGCCACCGCCTCTGATCCTGTCACTGGGCCCCACTGAATAGTGCCTGGCCCATTCTCTTTGCACCCTCCCTTCAGGTATTTCTACACATTGACATTCCCCACCCAAGATTTTGTTCTCTAAGCTGAACTCTCCCAGCTATCTCAGTCTCCCCCCATATATCCCTGTCTCTCCTATGTGGAGCCCTGAGCTGGACACAGCACTCCAGGTGTGGCCCACCAGCGCTGACAGAAGAGGAGGATCACCTCCCTCAACCTGCTGTCAGTGCTCTGCCTACAGCAGACAAGGACTCCTCTCACCCTCCTCACAGCAAGGACACACTGGGGGCTGATGTTCAACTTGGTGCTCACCAGGACCCTGCAAGTTCTTTTCTGTCAAACTTATTTCCAGCAGAGCAGCCCCCAGCATACACTGGTACCTTGGATTGTTCTTCCCCAGGAGCAGGCCTGCATTTCTCCTTGTTGAATTTCATGAGGTTCCTGTCATCCAATTTCTCCAGCCTGATGAGGCCTCTCTGGATGGCAGCACCTACCAGCCACTCCCCCCAGCTTTGTGTCATCTTCAAACTTGCTGAGGGCACAATCTTCCCCATCATTAACAAAGATTTTAAATAGGACTGGACCCACTATTGACCCCTGGATTACACTGATGGTTACTGGCCTCCAATTTCATGCCACTGATCATCACCCTCTGGGCCCATCCACTCAGCCAGTTTATAATCACTGTCTGCTCATCCAGCCCATACTTCATCAGCTTGTCTGTGAGGATCTTATGGGAGACCTTACTTAAATTAAGGTCAGCAACTTCCACTGCCTTCCCCTCATCTACCAAACCAGAAGTTTTTTGCTCAAGTAGGAGTTACTAGTGCATTCCCAGCAGTGTTAGAATATGCTCTGTGACTAGTTTACTCACTGATAATATGAACACATTAATAATTATTCTCCTCACAAAGGTCCTATATTAATCAACATTTGAATATATGCCTTAAGATCTCCAGAATAATGCTGCTACTTTAGTTATGTAAGAAATTATTGATTCTGTTTTCAGATATTCTTTATATAACTTGGCTTTATAAATCTTTAAAGTATCAAATCCTTAGAACAGCTGTAAAAGTAAGATACATATATAAAATAAAATGAGGATGTAAAACATACTTCTCAGACTTCTCTTAAATAAATGCATTTTTAATAACTAAACAGTGAAACTCAAGGTTTTATCTTCACATCTTTAATTTTAGAATGTGGTATTACCTACCCTTTCTCAAATGGATTTTAACTTTCTATGAAAGCATTCAAAGGCATCAATATTGTCAGTATAATTATCAGGCACATATCTACTCAAAGCAAAACACCAGCAATCATTCAGCAAAAAGGTAGTTCTAGAATATTTTAAAGTTTGGCAATGATTTTCCAGTTGCTTGATTTTGCAATATCACCAAGGAAATAATTATTTTATACTGTAATCACAATTAGCTTTGCAAGAGATTAATAGTAAAACCAGCATGCCCCTCCCACATCTTCCTTCACATTAATTTCTTGCTCTAAGACAGTTATATTGGAATATCAGGGAACAGTAAAGATTACAGAGGAGAAAGACTGTGTAGGGTCATATACTGGTTTGCTTGCTAGATTCCTAGTGATTTCATGAAAAGACTTTCTCATCCATTTTCAAAGCTGCACAAAAGATTGGTGTCAGAGGCAGCACTATGACTGGAGAATCCTGGTGTCAAAGCTCCTAAACTAAACTAAAAGATGAAAACTCCTTTTGGGAACTGCGGTCAGTTTGGGAGATATAATGAATTTTACTGCAGTTCCTGGAAGGAGAATTTCTGTGAACAGCATTATTTTCAGCTCCTTTTAAGTGCTTCTTTTTTCTTTATTCAATAAATTCCTGACATCAACTTTCTCTTCCTACCAGTTTCGCTCACTGCTATGACAACATGTAAGGTCTTCATCAGGGTAACTATGTAAGGTGTAGAGGTTCCCTTCTAGCACCATCTCCTCTGCTGTGCCTTGATAAAGCATTTCCACAGGCAATCATTAATTCTTATCACTCTGGATCCCAATTAAAGGAGTTTATAATTGTTGGACTGAAGAACCATGAAGGTTAAACTATAATGTGAATGGGGTTGAAAAAACAGGCACACCAGATATCTGCAACAGGGTATTTCTTTGATGAAATATATGATTAACTGTCATTGGTTTACACATCTCATTGCAGCCTTTAGAATTGCAAAGAAGGAGGTGTATTCTTAAAAGGTGAGCACTGATTGTGCAGAGGATTGCCCAGAAGAGGTAAGAGTCAAGCTAAATGACTTGCTGCCATCTATTGACCATGCACTTTTAAGTGTCTGAGATCTTCAGTAAGATGATGAAAAGACAGTAAAATCTTGCAGCACAATCAATAAAGGGAAGCTGACCTCTGTGTGATAATGTCAAAATAATTTGTAGACGCTCTATTCCTGTGTTAGCACATTCCAGAATTTTTACTAAAAGCTAGTGCCAGCTGTTTGCACATTGCCTTTCTCAATGTTTGAGAACAGCAGACTCTCCTCCACATCAGAGTAAGAAATGAAACGGTCTGCTTTCAAGGATATCACAGTGACACCAGCAAAGCTTGATAAATGACTTTGTATAGATTTGTTGCTCATGACTAATTCTGTCCCCTTCTCTGAAACAAAATGAAGTAAACTAGCATCATACATTCCTACCCAGAATTACAGCCAGCCATGTCTCTGCATGAACCCTTTTCTTTATGTGTTTATTTACCAAGACTTTAAAATAAGAAAACGCGTCTTTATAAAAAATTGTCTCCTTGGAATAACAGGCTTAGGCATGACTTCTGATAGAGCGTAGCTCCTCTACATGATAGCTAACACTTGCAACAAGAAACAGAAGTCCATCCATTCTGGGAGTTTCCATTAGAGAGACAGACATTGCTGTAAGAAATTGATTCATTTTTTTGTATCAAGAGGTACTCCATTTGAACAATGTTCTGTTGCCTTTACTGTACCAAAAGTAACAGATTTTTTTAAAAAACCAAACAAACAAACAAACAAAATAACTCTTTCTTTTAAAATTTGAGTAAACAAATTTCTCAGTTTTGTTGCCTTTACTGTACCAAAAGTAACAGATTTTTTTAAAAAACCAACCAAACAAACAAACAAAAGAACTCTTTCTTTTAAAAACAAACAAACAAAAGAACTCTTTCTTTTAAAATTTGAGCAAACAAATTTCTCAGGATACAATTGTGCATCAGTCAAGCTGTGTTTTATAAAGAGCAAGTTAAGGTCACCAGCAAGTTGAGACAATCATTTGTTTCCAACAAACATTTCTTCTGACAACTGTCAGCTCCAGCAAGGGTGCTCACCATCCCTCCTGGTTCATCCTACCTCAGGTCTGCATCTAGTGGCATAACACACCAAGCAACACTGACATCATACCAACTGTCAAAAAACTGAGTAGTTATGATTGTTTCCTTCCCACTGTTACATCAGAGATAATGATGGAGCACATCTTGACCTCAGTGACATTCATCTTCACCCAAAGCCACACCAAGGCCTTCATCACAACACAAAGAGAATTTGTCCATTTAAGTAAAGCCTCTGAGTTTGTGCACTACTGAAGTCAGTAAAGGTGAAAGGCATGAAAAGCAGTATAAAGGAGCAGAAAATCTGACTTGGAGCTCACCAATCCAGGCACGTATTTCACAACTGTAATGATACAAAGAGACAAAAACATGGAATTTTCTACAGTGGAATGACTCCAGAGGAAAATAATAGTGGTGCACAAACTCAGAGGCTTTACTGACCAGAATGGATGCCTATTGCTACACCAGTAGTTTGGGAAACAAGGAAAATTGAATGCTTATTACTACGTGTCCCTGAAGTTTAGCAAGTGGTGTTATTCTGTCTCTAACATGTGAACTCTTGTATGAAGCAAGTAGGAATGTCTGAAACACAGAAGACTTCAACATTTGGCTTACAGATCATAAGCACCAAGACTGTAAATCGCTATCCCTGTTGTATTTACAATGCAGTTAAGAAAGCAGAAAGCCTCTTTCTCTCTTTTCTCCATTCTTCCACCTTTAAGTTTATGCAGAGCATTTCAAGGCACACAGAGTGATTGAAATAATTTCCTTTGGCACAATTATCTTGTTTTCCATCCTTCACCCTGTTCCATAAACTGGTCACTCCATGAATTTGTGCCTCTCAACATGTTTGAGTAGATCTGGCCTCTTCCTCCAGTCAGCTGCAAATGTTGCCTTCCCTGGTGAACAAAAATAGAAATGTTCCTCTTTGTAAATGGAAGATAAAGTCCAAGTTTCCAATTTTATAGCACTTTACCAATTCCCCTGATTTCAGCAGACAAATAAGAAACCCAAACCAGTTTTCATCTTCCAAAAACAGAAGGTCAAAGATGAGTCTCCAGAGATGGAGAGATGCTATGATAGTTAAATATGAAGTAGTTTAAAAGCCTCCAAGGCTAACAGCAAGCAGCAACTTTAAAAAACAGTCATGTGCCACTAAAACATACTTGGCAGCACATACTCACTGCTTTCTAAAAGTCAGCATTATGGGTTGGTTCTTGGGAGGCACAGCTGGAAATAATTACCCTTTCCCACGTCTCTGCCAGTCCTAGAAGGTGTGCATTTTTCTCTCAGCCACCTGAGTGGCCTCAAAGGAGCAAAGCTCTCAAAGCGTGGGATTTGGTCCTGTAAATTTTGATTCCTAGCCAATAAGCTGAACTATAAGCAATAAGCAGTACATATTTATAGGGCACCTGTCAAAGATAGCAAAACAGTCAATAAAATTACCTGTTTTGGTATATCACCAGCTTCACCTACATAGCCAGAAATCTCTCAGTGTTTATGCTACACACATTTGAGGTCATTTTTTTTAACCAGAAAAGCACAATGCACACCAGTGTATAGAAGCATCATCAGCTTGGTCTCATCTAGCAAAAGAACATGATTGTTTTATGATTAATGGAAAGTGGTATTTCCTTTAATATGCTCTCTTTGGAAGTCATCGGTGCTATGGAGGTTTCACTGCCATAACAAAAAGTGAGTCCTCAATTGCCATAACACCTGAGAGCAGTAGGAAGTAGCACTTCCTACTAGTAGTAGACACTTTTATAGGAAACCAGCCTGTGTCATATAACTGAGCATAGAGATGCTGTACAGAATATACAGCAAACCAGTTCAGTTCATGCTTGAGAAAAAGCTTCATTTCTGTGTGACTAGGCTTAAAAACATCAACACACACACTTGAATACCCTATATATTTACTTTGCTTAGATAATGCTTAGTAGCACAGCTGTCAAAAATGGTTATAATTTAAAGTGAGCATTCAGAATGCAATGTTCTATATTGGTACCACTGCTGAGGCTAAATTTTAGGTGCTAATTATAATGTAGATCATCTGAGATGAAAGTGTATCATAAAAAACTACTCAAAAACCAAACAATTAATGCTTAAAAACAAAATCCTTTATAAAACTGTCATAAAGAAAATATAAACATGAAATCTTTACTTGGAACCAAGAAATCTATCTTGTAAAATGTTAGAAAACAGAACTCAAAAAATAATTGCTATTTAGGGTAATATTTTTTTAAAAAAATTCTGAATTAATTTAATGAAATTCTGCATCAGAGAAAAAAAAGCAGGAGAGGAGGACTATTAACATAGAATTATTAAATCATAGTATTATAGAAACATTTAGGTTAGAAAACCTCTAAGATCATTGAGTCCATCTGCTAACCCAGCACTACCAAGTCCACCAATAAACCATATCCACAAATGCCACTTCTATACATCTTTCAAATACCTCCAGGAATGTCAACTCCACCACTTGTCTGGGAAGCCTCTTTCAATGCTTGCCAACCCCACTAGTGAAAAAAAATTTCTTAATAATTTTTAATAGTATATAGCTTTTTTTAATAATTTTTCTGAACTCAACCATCCTTGGTGCAACTTGAGGCCATCTCATCTCATGCTGTCATTTGTTATTTGGGAGAAGACATATCCAGACATATTCCCCCTTTTGATTTAATTTCAATGAGAGGTGAAAATTTGATTCATAATGTTTAATATTTGGTAGTCCTTCACTTCCAAAATGTAAAATATTGCCTACACCAGAAATTTGTCTAGGAAACATTAGTCTCTATGGCTTATATACTATTTAATTCCTCTTATCCTGGAATTACAGGAGATGGAAAAGACTGTCCCTAATTTAAAAATGTAGTCAGAACATAGCCAGCAAACAAAGATACAATAAGTGAGCACTAGGAAAGCTCATGAGCCCTAGACTAGATGCCACTAGACTGGAAGAGACTTCAGTGCACAGCTAAACCTGGGGAATCTGATGGTCCTGCTTAATATGAACAATGGCTGAAAAATTCGAGCCTTAATGAATGCCAGAAATGGGTGAAGGGGACATAATAGAGGCAAGAGTAGTTATTAACTATTGGAATCCTCTGCTCACCTCCTACTTGGTAAATGGCATAGATACAGTTGCATTGAAAGCCTTTTGTTGGGCAACAAACAGAGGCTTTTTAAAGTGGAGCCTCCAGGTGTTCACAGCTTTATTCCAGTATGTAGTATTTGTTTGGATTTATCTCATACATAAATTCCTAATCTAAAGAAGAGGAATTTTTAAGTCCTCATCTTGACCAGCAGGTGATTCTTACTAAAGAAACAGCTCTCCCTGCTGGTTAATCAAGTGACCTATCATGGCACTGAGTTTGACTCACTTTATTTTATCTGATGGAAGATCTTATTCATTTCAGAGCTAATGGGTGAGAAATAACTTATTAACTTCTCCATCTCCAGTGATAAAAAACAAAAAGTGATGGCTTATTTAAAAAATGCATTTAAATCAAACAAACCAAAAAATCAATCATAAAAAAACCCAACAAAACAAAACAGAATGAAGTATCAAAGTATAAATCATGAATAGAATTTATGCACAGAAAATGATGTTATTGCAAAAGAAAACAAAGAAGCAAACACTCATCTCCAGTAGCTAATATAATGTAAGTGCTATTCAGAGAGAATATACTGCTTTTCTACAAGTACTAGAGCACCTCCATGCACAATCTCAACCTATATTCTACTGAGAGTGCCTCCATGAATAAAACCCCCTTGTCCATTGAGCTGAACAGCAGGAGATACCAGTTCTGAGCATGTAGACAGGTTATCTGTTTGACAACAGCTTGAAAAATGTAGCAGACACAAATTATTACTTTGGTACTTACTGTCATAAGAGTTACTGCAAAGGCAAATTATTTGGTAACTCTGCACATATGATTATAGCATCATGTTAGAAGTAATCTCATTACAAAAGAAGTGCTTCCTTGATCATAATCCTTCCTTTTCAGATACTCTGCACTCTTTGCTGAGAGAAGTGTAGCACTTAGTGGAATAAGGCTAGTATTCTTCACAGATTAATGGCAAACTGTTTTTTACAGGTAACAAAGCGATTCTTAAGATACATGAACATATGAAAATGTATTTTTCAATATTTCAGAAAGGTCATACTTTGTTGCCTTGGCACTTGAGGAGACAAAAATGGGCTTACACATTCCAGGTCTGATTCTTGGATCAGTCACAATGTGATTTTAATTCTCTTCCAAAAGTGGCAACCGGGGACTGCTTTGGCTTACAACACAAGATGCAGAAACCTGAGGCGAAAAACAAAGGTTGCTCTCATTTACACTAGAGACAGTTTCCAGGCAGAGCTAGGTTAAGTGCAAGACTAAGAGGAAAACAAATGATATCTCTACCCAATGTGTCAGGAACATCAACATCAGGTCTGCCACACCTGAAAACAGAACTCAGAATTGGACAGAAATTCAATACCATTCAAGACTAGTTTCTCAGTTACATGCTAGACACTGTTTTCACTCGTCAGGGCATTATTTAGCTTTGAAATACTGTGTACATTTAAATATAGAGACAAAAAAATACAGTTATTTAAATCCCATTGATCTTTGCAGTACTCCCTCATCAGGACATAAAATAAAGCAGGTAGATGGGACAGCAGCTATGAAGAAACACAGTTTACTGCCTGCCTTTAAAAGACTGCTGGATTTGACAGCAGAAGACTGGTCAAAATTAGCACATAAACTATTAGATTAGGATCATTGCTGAAAGCTAGGTAATTGGGATCATTGTTAAAAAAATCATGGAAAGCATCCACATATTTGACCAAAACAATGAGATTTATTTACCTCTGTGGGTAAGGGATTGCTCTTACAAGTTGGTTCATTATGAAATCAATCTGAAGCACAATGCTCAAAAGTGTGGATAAAAACTTTCTTTGTAGTCCCAGGAAAGGTTCCTGTACATGTATATGTGTGTGTGTGTGTGCATGGATACCACTACTTTTGTGCAAAATCTCCCAGGAATTCTGGAATGATGGGTGGAGAGAGGTGACTGCCCCCACTCTGTGCTGTTGCAGCCCTGAACCCTGCTTGTGGTTTTGGGCACCAAAATACAAGAAAGACATAAAGCTATTAGAGAGCATCCAAAGGAGGGTTACAAAGGTGGTGAAGGGTCTAGAGGGAAACCATATGAGAAGCATTTAAGGTCACTTGGCTTGTTCAGCCTCTGGCAGGTGGTGTGACTAGGGGTTGTGTTGTGCAGGGTCAGGAACTGGACTTTGAAAGTCCTTGAGGGCTCCTTTTAACTCAGGACATTGTACAATTCTGTGATTCTATTCTACAAACATTACCCCAGATATATATAGGAGGGTGAGCTGCTCATATTGCACCAAAGAGTGCCAAACAGTCCCTTCCTTCAGCAGGTCTCCAGACCAATTTCTTCTTTGTCTTGCATCTTGAAGAGACCGCAGTCTATTCATCTACCTGTCAAAAATATCAAGACTTTCAACTCATGCAGTATCGTCCATAAGTATATTTATGAAAGCGCAGAGTTTACTCTTAAAAATGTTTCTTCAAAATAATAAAAATATTGTCGTTTTATTGAAATGTCATCAAATTTACTCTTCTTTTTTAATTAGCCTTTCCAGCAGAAAGATGCCATAAAGCACAACAGCATGCAATGCCTGTTGCACAGTTGAACACCATAAGCTGAAAAAGCACCTCAGTCTCTCCCTCCTGTTCATGCAAGGCATATTCTTGTTTTCTCAGCCCCTTTTTGGAGGGTTGCTTGTTCTCCCACTTTAATAAGAAACACTGTAAGGACCAAAGCTGAAAGTGCAAACAAGCTACTGAGCTTTGCTTTGGGTTTGATATGGAGGAGACAGACAGGTGGCTGGTCAGATAGATTTTGCAGAAGCTTCATCATTTAGACTTGTTATGAAGGGAGAGTGTTAATAAATGATGCAACTTGTGGAAGAGCAAACAGAAACCCTGGTTTTTTTCATGTCATGTTCCAAATGCATCTTGAATTATGAAATGCTTGAGCTATACAGGCTTCATGGAACATGAAGACTACAGCAAGAAATTAATTGCAGCTTGGCATGCTGCATGTAAAGAGTAAATAACCTGAAAAGAAGAATACATCAGAATGTTTCAAGAGAAGGAAAGGAAAGGAAAGGAAAGGAAAGGAAAGGAAAGGAAAGGAAAGGAAAGGAAAGGAAAGGAAAGGAAAGGAAAGGAAAGGAAAGGAAAGGAAAGGAAAGGAAAGGAAAGGAAAGGAAAGGAAAGGAAAGGATTTTATAACTTAGAAGAGATACTGAGAAGTCAGTAAACAAGATCTCTGAACTGAGAGTTATTGAGACTCCTGTTTCAGCAAGTTACTGAATGTTGTTCTCAATGGAGATCGTTCCCCACTGAAGAGCCTGTAGTCAGTGGCTTTCCCACTGTCAAAAGTGTCTTATCACATCAGCTTAGAGTGCACTCTTCAGATCTCCAGAAAGGTTACTTTTCACAAGAAAATTTGTCAAAAAATGGGAAATAAACAAGACAAAAGCAAAGATCCAGCCTACACATCACTGATACCACAAGCAGCAACCAAATTTTTTTATTCTTGTAGTTATGCATAAAAATAGAGACAATGTTTTCAGTCACATGTTTGGGTTCCTGGTCCTAGGCTGATTTTGAATCCAACAAGTACTTCCAATTATAACAGATTTCATGACATGAAGTTTTAGGTTGGTTGCACAAAATAAACAAAAGCCAGAAGTCTGGGACTGGAGGAGTGTGATTTTTCAAGGCTTTTGAGCAAAAAAAAATGTTGCTATAATTTTGACAACATAATTTAGCAGCTTTTATATAGAGCAATCTACACCTCCGCCCCTCTCCACCTCGCCTCCCCCTCTGGTATTGTCTTGCCTGTCAATTATTGGAAGAAGAGCCTGTTCTTTAAAAGGCTTTTAAATTATTGGAAATTATTTGGAATATATTCTAAAAGCTCTTGAAAGAAAGAACACTACCCCCACATACACACAGAGTAGAAAGTATTTATTTGTATTGTCAACTAAAATGTGCGGGATTAACGTGAGAGTTTATCTGGCTAAGAACATCAAGGATCGTCAGCTGTGCTGACCTCGTGCTTGAGCTGTGGGGATATTAAGAGGTAAACCTAGTGCTCCAAACACCTAACATGACATCACTGTGCCCATTCCATTTGGTGCCTTCCCGATGACACTGATAGGACTGCACAGAAAGAGTGAGGGTGTTTGGGACCATGACACTCCAGGGAGCAGTGCTGCTGTTAATATATGCACCCCAGCAAGCAAAGCAAGGCAGCTGCACCATTCTGCCAAGTAAGCAACTTTGTTGTTAATGTGGGGTTTGTTTGCTCTGATACATAACAGACACATTCGAGTTCCTTCAAACTATCACGCTGACTGGCATTGAAAGATATTGTATTATAAATTTTACATTATAATAGTGTTTACTGGCAGAATAAATTGCATACCTGTATTGAAGTGATGGAAAAAAGACATCACTCATTATCACATTGAGCAGCATGCTGAATACAGCAGTGAACAGTGATAATCGTGCCAGCTAAAGCAATTTTACCTATGAAAAGTTGTTCAGACGTAAGAGAGACTGCTAATGTCTTACACAAGGCACAGCTATTTCCTATTTGTTTCTGAGAACCTTACTATTCATTGATAACTCACAAATTTCCTAAATGTGATGTACATTAAAGGCATAAAAATTATTTCTCAATTTTCTTCACAGTCTTCTTTTATCTCCCTCATATCTATCTTTCACACCACCAGCTGTTGGTTTTCCATCTTTTAAGTCACGTCACACAAATTAGAAAGAAGCATTTGGTTCAAATGTTGCTTTACAATTCACCCCCAGACCCTCTGATCTCTTCTAAAGTGGTTTCTGAGACATTTCTCCAGAGAGACCCATGTATCACCTAAACAATTTCCATTTCCAAATTTAGCCTTCATCTGAGCCAGGGGTACAAGGAGCTGATTCACTTGTCTTCCTTTAAATCTTGCTTTCTCATTGTTAATATCCTTAGATGAGTTTCATCTTCCTACCTCTGCCTACCAGTAGATATTTAGGGTGGTCTTCACTGCCAAATAGGATACCTAATTTTAGGCACCAACATGTAGGACTCTGTAGGTTGGAGGGGTATCTGAGCTCTCAATACAGTTCATACAGACCTAGTTTGTGGAGCTCAGATGCAATTTTTCCAAAGCAGGTAATAGGGATACCTTAGCATATGCTGCCTGGCTCCAGCTGTTTAAGGAAATAGGATTCTCTAAGACCTCTGTCACATTTATCAGCTGCATGCAAAGGTCTTCAACAAAAGAAGATGCATGGAAGACTCTTAAAGCATATTTATGCAAATGAATTAGACACTAGACCTCTGATACCCATTGCAGAAGCCAAGGAAGCTCCGTTACTGCCAGACACCCAAGTGCATATGGGTCCCTCCTCAGAAGCCAGCTGAGATGATCCTCACTGATAACTCTGTTTTGCTATCTGGCTACATCTTGGAAGTTCAGTAAAATTACACAGCACTTCTCCTCCAAAGCTTTTCAGACACAGTTCCCATTGCTAGTTGGACTTCATGTCTCTGAGGATCTTGTCCCCTAAAACTCTGCTATTTTTGCAACCAGATTTACTTAGAAAAGAGCAGGAGAGCAAACACAGCTGCACAAGGTATCTGTGCTTAGCAAACTAAGCTGGGGTCTGTGGGCCCACAGGACTATTTCATAGTGATCTTTCAACTGGATCAGGTGAAGTTGGGCTCAGCCCAGAAAGGAATGTTTGGGTACAAAACCAGATGCAGTATTTCTGTGGAAGCACTGCTGACACAGGGAGCAGAGGCACAGAGCAATGCAGGGAGAGGACGTAGCAGCTGAGACTTCGCTGTGTCCTTCAGGTGGCTGAGTGTAGCACATCCTTGGTAACTTCCTGTGCCAAGGTAAGGATTTTTTGGGTAAAAATCAGGTGATATCAAAAAGGGATGAAAGGGGCTTTCAAGGGTCTTGTTCTACAACTGAACATGCATCTGTAAGCGCCAGCATCTGAGGGGGTGTTGCCATAACTAAATACATGAAAACACAGATCATATGTGTTATTAAAAGTGTAATAAAGAGGGTACTAATCTCCCCAACATTGCAGTTCTTCTTAAAATATGGAGAAAATATTAAATATGTCTCAGACTCTCTATATTCCAGCAGAACAGACCCTGCTATGTATTGGCTAAGATAGCAATGTGCCACCTTTTGAGAAATAAAGTCTTTTTGACATACCAGTTGTCCTGTTTCTTCCAAAATAATAATGAAATGGGAAACAAAAAGAGAATACTATTAAAGAAAAGCAGCACTGTTCTGTGACTTCCTTTTACATGGCCATGTTGGAGAAAGGGAGAGAGTATTTTTAAAGGTTGATGATCATCTCCTTACCCCTGATCAAAGGACACAGTCTTCATTTAAAAGTTTGACTTGCCTGCCATGGGACATGTATTTCACATTTAAAATACTGACATTCAAGCCAGCTTCTGGTTGTAATATCATGTTTCTGCTGACAAACAATATAAAGCACAGCAACTCTGTGTCATTGAGTCTATGTTCAACACAGAAACAGTCCTGCACAGAATCACAAGATAGATTATTTTTAAAATATTATTTAAAATTAAAATAATACCCAAAGGAAATTGTAGGTAAAAAACAAAAGGAGATAGATTGAAAATTGGAAAAATAAAGGTGAGTTGTTAGAGCTGTTTTTTCTCTAATAAAAATTATTATCTCTCTAAAATGTATGTCACCCATGCATTTATCTACATTTCTGTTTGTCCATCATTTACCTGTTTTCCACCTGCCTGAAAGTAACTATCTATTGGAAAATCAAGGTCAATTGTCTTCCTCAGTGAAAGGAGGGGAGAGAAATAAAAAGGAGAGTGGAAAATTATGAAAAATCTTGGTGTAATCTGAATAGCAATGAAGTAAAAGCTACTCCTTGATGTGCCTATGAATCCTGTAAATGAAGTGGCCCTTGAATTAAATTAATTTAAAATCTGGCAAATATTACTCGGCATGTTTGTCAATGTGCTGTATAATTATTAATTTGTTCATTGAGGCAACTATATAAATAAATAGAAAGCAGAATGCCATGATTAAACTAACATTAGAAATCCAGGGTCAAGGAGCCCTGTTATACAGGGATCTAAATAGCTTTCCCAGGTCCTATTTTTACATCTCCATACAGATCTGCAGGTCTGTAACTGCGAATTAATTGGCACACATTTAGATGCCAACAGAGCTTTTGTATTCTCAGTGCACATTTTGTCTTCTCAGAGTGAGATGTTAGTAATGGAGGTTTTAATATTACCCCTAGGGGAGCACCAGAAAATCTTAACAATTTCCTTCACTAGAGTATTTTCATTAGAGCTAAATGCTGTGCAATTTACATTTGAAATCAGGTGT